ACACTCTTTGCTCTTTCATTTCACTCATCTCGAAATCGCAAAACACTGCATACACAATGTTACAAACAAGCACTGTGTAAACAAACGCGATAACCAACGACGACGAAAACTTGTAGACTGACTCTCAGGGAGTGTATCAAGCAGAATTTAGCGGCAGAGCGCCGTACTATAAGCGGCTCGCGGGGGACATTCAAATTTCGGGAATATTTGGGTAGCACCTCGTATAATTCCAGTTATACGAGGTATATGCGCGGAAAAAAAGTATATTCAAGGGTTATATTTGAAAAAAGCGCGGTGCACGAAAAGCTGAAAGAAACTTTCGGTTGGAAAAGGCTTCTCTGGTGACGGCGACTCGGACGCGGCGAAAAGCCCAGCAAGAGCTGGTTCGGGATGCGATCACGGCAGCTCGGAACAAGCGTCGAGAGAGACGAGAGGCTTTCCCCTTCAGGACCGTCCCTGCCACCATCAGGGCTGCCCACCATCCGGGAATCCTCCCTCACGCCCAGGTCCAGGAACTGGATCACGACCTGGACGGTATGCGTCGCGTTCCTCGTCCTTTCTCGTTCGACGCGTCGACGCCGACTCGATGACTCGTGTCGATCCTGGCGAGAACGGAACGGTTCCCGCGAACGTTTTTCGAATCGTCGAATCGCCTTCCCGAGAAAGGATTACACCTCGCACTCGATTCACCAGACGACCGATCCGTTTCAGACGAGGAAGGCGGGGAGGGCGGAGGGAGAGGCGGGCTGCCCTCACAGCAGCTGGTCCCGGTCGCCCAGGCTCTCTTCCCATCGTGTCTCTGCGGGGCCTCCGAACTGCTCGTGTTCGCCCTGGATGATCCGTCGGTGACGTCAAACGGGTCGGCCGTGTATCAGGTGGCGCACGAGGTGATCTGGAGCTGCCTGGTGGAGGACACCACGCTCTTTCTCAGACACTTTCTGGAGAGGCTGACGAGGGAGGATCCGCTGGGGTCGCTGGCGTCGCTGCGTCGGTTGGTGGGGTTCGTTCGGCCGTTGCCGCCGCAGACGGCCTTCATTCTGTATAACTATCTAGTCGGGTTCATCATGTTTTTGCTTCGGTCGTCGAATCCGGCGGCGCAGGATCACATTCCGGCTGCGCTCGATCTCATCTGGATGGTGAGGATTTGTCTTGTCGATCGCGTTGGAAAGCTGCTCTCTGGTGACTTGGCGCGTGCGGTCAGGTGGCGGAGTACGTGCCGAGTCTGTTCTTCAAGGATCTGAAGCAGGTTCTGCGAAAGGAGCAGTGCGATACGTCCATTCTCCTCTCTGCCAATGTCCCCTCGGCCAAGAAGATCATCGTCCACGGACCCGATGTGGGGGGGATCCCGTCTCAGTTCCCCATTCAGGTGAGGGGAGAAAAGGCGCGGAGGGCAGGAATGTGGAGGGCGGGAAGGCGGGAGAGCGGGAAGGCGGGGAGCGGGAATGTGGAAGGCGGGAATGTGGGTGGCGGGAATATGGAGGGCGGAACGGGATTGACTTCCTTTGGATCTTTTGCAGGAGGATACCCAATTCCTGCAGATTCTGCAGGAGGCCTTGGATTTCTTTGGGATCGACGAGGCCGAGCACGAGAATTACTATCTGGTCGATCACAAGTCGCGTGAGCCCTTCCTTCTATTTCTTTCGGAGGATTCGGCAGTTACTGAAAGAATTGCGAAGGGACGGTTGCCGTTGCTATTGTTAATGTTTTTATGGGAGTCATTCGACGGTTTGGCTCCGACAGTCGCATGTCTTCTGATCGCAGGAAAACAAATTGAGAGAATTTATGTTGAAACTCGTTACGTGTTTCGTTATCCATCGTTACCCGCTTCGTCATCCTTTGTTGCTTTCCACAGCATTGCCATCTTCCGGGTGACGCGGAAGCTCCCTCCACTCTTTGTTTCTGTTAGCAATGATATGAGGTTGCATGAGTCCATTTGCAGTAGCAACGAGGAGTATCAACTGATACTCCTCGTTGTGAATGCTCTTACGGTTTTAGTCAGTCACTCTTCGCATTCTTCACACATCGAGCAATGTGTGAATGTGGATGAGTTCTGCTGGTTTCGGTTAACTTTTCACGGAATGGGATTTTGACGCGATTTACGTTAAATTTTCGAGACTTCAAATTTCCCCTCGAAGTTTCATTTCACCCGAAACGAGAATTCGTGAAACTTCTGTCGATGCCGATGTTCGACTGAGATTGCCGCGTTCCCGCGTTTCCAGAGGCCATCCACAACCTGACCTCGTACGTGAGGGACTTCTACTTCTTCAAGCGGTCCCAGTACCCGCAGCTGAACCTGGTGAAGCTGCCGGCGAAGGAGGCTTACCTCTCGCTCCAGAAGCAGGCTTTCAACCGGAGGAACGTCGAGATCGGGAAGATCCTCATGGCCCTGTCCATTCTGAGGATCAAGGAGCAGGTCCACGGGTTTCCGAAAACTCTTTTTCTTTTCATCGACCTGCGACGAAGTGGTTTTTTTTTTGTTTATCCCAGGCTGTTCAACGAATCTTCTCGCTGCACGAAGAGCTGATGAGGTTGCCGTCGTTCCCGAGAAGAGCGCTGGAAGTGGATTTTGGGCTTTTCAGCGGGCCTCTGGGAAAAGTGAGGACCGGTCCTTCTTCTTCCTCCTCGGATTCTTCCGAAAGGAGGCTGAGGATTCTCTTCCGAACGGCAGATCCTGTACGGACAAGAGGTGATCCACAAGTACCTGTGGGTCCAGCTGGTCGGGAGTCTGTTCCGGGGACTGGGGACGACGCTGCCGAGCCCCCCCGACCTGCATCTGTTCCTCAACATCCTCCGGGGCGTGATCATCCTCCATCCGACGGATGCGTCCGTGTTGAGGCTGGTGCTGGCGACGCTCGTCGAGGCGGCGGCGAGGTTCAAGCACGTCTTCGGGTCTAACGGGTATGGGTGGTCTGTGGCCTCGTGCCTTTTTCTTTCGTGTCGGCGAGTGGGCGCTCGAGGGACAAATATTGCTAAGGTTTGTGGAAGAGCGCGAGGGTCGCTGTGTGTACTTTCGGCAAGTGCAGGAGGGCCAGAAAAACTTGCGGAATTGGGATTTGACAGATGAGGATCGCTCCTGGATGAAGATTCTCATCACGAAAGTGCACCATGTTAGGCTTAACGCAGCGAGTCAACACGGGGGAATCGAGGATGTCGTGATTCGGTCTCGACAAAAAAGTCACATCCTCAGTCGTGCGATTCTCGGGCGAAAAGATTTCCACGGCCCAGTCCGTCGGAACGAGACACGGTGGGAGATGTATGGAGCGGGAGATGGGACGGCTGTCGGGAGATTCGGCAACCCCTTTAACGCGATCTGCCGCGTCACGCAACACAGAATGGAACTGCCTGGAGAGGGAGAGAGAAAGGGGGAGAGGGAGAGGGAGAGAGGGAGAGGGAGAGGGGAATGCGCGAACATGCGCAGCCTACAGCGCGGGTCGTTGGAAGGGTCTGGGGATCGAGCGGGAAGATCGGCAACGCAGGTGCTTCCCGGGATCTTTCCCCTCGTGCTGCCAGTGATGCCGAATCAGCAGTCTCTTTCCAACTGGTTTATGGAGATGGTCTCGGGAAAGCAGAGCCGAACGTCTCGTTAAAAAATAAATGCAGCAGACACGACCTGCAACCCTCGGAAGTCGAAATCTCAATTTAGCCCGCAATAAAAGCTGCTGTGAGCGGATCAAGCTTGAATTCGGATCCGCCCAACCGGTTCGCCCAGGTCCTTGAGTTATTATCAATGAATTTCGGATCTCGATTCCCGTCTGTGAGGAGATTTCAAACTTCAAATTCGTGACGGAAAGAAGGTGCGCTCTTTCATGCTAATCATGCATGTTAATTTTGTCGTTGCGCTGTTTACTTATTGCTTCGATAATATTCTGGTGCTGTGGCCCTTAGTATAAATATCAACGTTTTGGCGCAGCCAGCGAACATTTTAAGGCTATACTCTTATTTGACCGGTTTCAATACTAGCAGTTCTACCAGTATGCTAAATTTAATCATTCAACTCTTCATATTTTCTGAGACTTTCGCGGGTCATCCATCGAAAGAGGCATCCATCCGGAAGGAATAAAATCTCATGAAAAAAGACGACGATGGTGGGGGTCATCAATGTCAGTTCAACGATCAAAAGATCAGTTTCGGTTTCGCAAATCCTTGTCCTTCGAAAACGAAAAATTGTTTGTTTTGCCGGAATGATAGGTTCTTGCTGATCATGCCGGCCCTGGTGAGACTGTACAGCATGAACCAGACGAACCACCACATCACCAAGGGGATCGAGTTCACGGTGGAGCAGTTCTACATCCTCCACCGGAAGCCGTTCCTGCTGCAGCTGTTCGGGAGCGTGGCCCCCATCCTCGACAGGCGGAAGGGGGATTCCATCTATGGAGACTGTAGGAAGGTCTGTTCGGAAGTGCATCTTGTCCTTTCGTATTCGATTCCTCCCGGAGGAGATGATGAGGGGACGCTCCAGAAATGCAACTTGGAAAATTTGGGGTAAATTCTGGTAATCTTCTTGGTACTTGGAACTTGGATGTAGGTTGCAAAAAACGCGGGGAAGGCTTGATGACGCATTTTTCCGGGCTTTGTTGGATTTTAAAGTTCATAAGTCGATGGGATCCGCTGGAATCTTGAACTCGTGGCCGGATCGCAGGTGGAGCCGAAGGCGTTTTTCCGCCTCCTGACGAGCCTGGCCGAGACGAGCTCGGACACGCTGGAGATCCTGCCCCTCCTGTCGAAGGACGTGGTGCCGTTGAGGACCCTGGATTTCTGCTACCACGGGGATCCCAGCACGGTGTCCATGGTCGAGTGCCTGTCGCTGGCGACGTCGGTGGTGGCGTATGCGGCGGACTCGCGGCGGGCGCAGCACATGCTGGTGCGTCGGTCGCCTTGCGTTCGTTCGCGGTCGGCGTCGGTGTCTTTCTCAGTCGGTCGCGTCGTCGCAGATCGTGTTCGAGGCCCTGCTGCCGTTCCACCTGCGCTCTCTGGTGAGGAGCGGGGGCAAGAAGGAGATCCGGGCGGAGAGGGACGACATCGCCCATCTCGCCGCCACGATCCACACGCTCGTCATCAACTGCGAGCCCCTCACCAAGTCTTTCCCCTCTTTTCTCCCTCTTTTCTCTCCTTTTTTTTTAATCCTGCCGCGAATGGATGGGATGATTTTCGCAGGGATTTTCGCGGTCCGTCGCACGGCTCCGACCCGAAGGTGTCGAGCGTGAAGGCCCTCACCAGCAAGGCGGGCAAGTCCTCCGAGGTGGACGAGGAGTCCAAGACCGATTTCCCTTCCAGGAAGATCACTTCCACTTTCGATCGCGAGTTCTTCGACTTCGAGGTGAGCGAGAGAGGCCAGGCGACGAAGCAGGGCGCAGATTAAGGGAATTCCCTAGAAGTAGAATCTGTCTTTTGAATCCATAAACCTTTTTTTTTTGCGAATATCTTTAGAAAACTTCTAAACTGCGCCAAACTTGGTCGGTGTTGAAGGACGCCTGAATGAAGTTTTTCACCTTGGAAATTAAATCTACAATCTTGTATTTCTGCTGCCATGAATGGAAAGCGTATTTTGATGAGGAAGCTGTTTCTGAATTGTGTCCAAGTGTAAAAAAATATATCAATTTAAATATCCTCCTTGAGTCCAGATACATAGGGATTGGCAACTTCTGAACAGTTGGAAGTTTCAATGTTGTTCCATGGTGGTCAGTCCGTAAATTGGGTGTGGTTGAGAAATAAATATAAAATAACGATTCTCGAGACGTTGAAGCTCAATCAGACAGGCAGAGTCATCTATGGGTAAGGGTGGTATTTCGAGATCGACGATATTTTTATCGAAAATCGACTATGGATTTGCACGAATTCCGTGAGAACGAACCGAAACGAAACGTTGCTTCGGTCGAAGGTGATCCGCGGATCGTACCGAATCCCCCGAGACACGCTGTTGGCCCTGGTGGCGGAATACGTGACGTGGTGCAAGAGCAGGCTGTCGGAACTGGCGAGGAAGAACACGGCGCCGGGGGACCTCAAGCCCGTGGAGCTCCTCGACAAGAAGTGTCACATGGTGCGTTCGAAATCCGTTCTCGCCTTGCTCGGTATCGGGACGGGTGATGAGGTCGGGTCCGTGGGTCAGAGGCTGGCGGAGGTGGCGCACAGTCTCCTGAAGGTGGCGTCGTACGACCCGCAGACGATGGGGTGCGTGGGGCTGCAGAGGTACATGAACGAGGTGCTGCCTGCGGGGGCGTGGGCGCTGGAGGCGATGAGGCCGTCGCTCTTGCTGGTTCTCAGGCGGATCGATAAGATGGTCGACAAGATTTTTAAGAAGCCGTCCATTCGGGTATGTCTGTGGATTTGGGGGGAGGGAGGTGCGGGGCGGCTGAGTTGTTTTTTTTTTTTTTTTTCGGTGTAGCATAATACGGATTGGGAGGCGGCTGGGGGTCTGCTGAAGGGGGTGGCCACGACTCTCAGGCGTCATCCGTACATCGCCCATTATACCAATCTCAAGCTTCTGCTGCAATGCTGCCAGGTAGGCGAATGGTGCGAATGCGATTGTATAGCGAATCATCGGTCGCGTTGCTCTGCGGTCGCTTCGTTAAAAGGGAAGCCAGTGTCCAGATCCCTGGCGTTTGCAAAGAGTGAAAGAAATTTTAAATAATATTGCAAGAATGGAAAATGGGCGAAAAAAAAAACCGCATGCGTGTCGCATGTATATCACATGCTTCTTACTTCGCAATGAAAATGATAAAAAAGTTAAATAATTTATCACTTCGTTCCTCTTGCGATGAGAGGAGAGTATTGATGTAAATTTTCCAAACGAACAGTCGTTGATCCTGGGAGAGGTGCCAGTGCCTCAAAGTACAAGCGGGGAGCACGGCGGCTCTTTGACGCCGACGTCGGTGGGCGCGTCGCTGCGGAACGCCCCGCCGTCCCACTTCTCCAACGTCATCATCCATCTCACTGCGCTGCAGACACTGGCGCTGGGGGTGAGTCTCTGTGGGTTGGGATGAGGTGGTGTGGATGAGGTTTTTGAATGGGCGTTTTGGGGCAGGAGTCGTACAAGCTGGACCAGGTGTGCGGGGGGACGAGCCTGCTGCCGAGCGTGGATCGGACCCAGCGCGTCTTGCTTCACCTCGTTCTTCCTCTCTGCCTTCGGGCGGGATGCGGACGCAAAGGTAGACTCGGATCCGTTCTTGGGGTCTCGTTTTTCTCGGCTCCATCGGTCGGTGCTTTTGAATCGGGACGCTATCGAATTTCTTCGTATCGGTCGGTTCGAAAGGGATGCCGTAAGCCAGACGGACAGAATAGGGAATAAATTATTTAAGAGAACTTGCAGAAATTTCTTTAAAAGTAAACAAGGAACGTATAACTCTGATTCGATTTCAAATTGAAAAATACTCGAGGAAATTGTGAGTGAACGGTGCTAAGACGGAGTGATTTTGGAAAGAGCAGATCTGCCGGGGATGAGGGAGGAGAACGTGTGCTTCGTGACGAAGGTCCTCCTCCACTCGCTCAGCCCGCCGCCGCTGGTGTCGACTCATAGAGAGATGCAAAGGGAGGCGCAGGGGCAGGGGATGACGTCGTCGTCGTCCAACGAACAGAGTCGGAGCTCGATGTCGCATACTCAGATCCATCACGTGCCCGATTCTCTCCTTCGCATCGCCTTCATCGGTTCGTCGAAGCGGTTTCGGTTGTTTTCTGAAGCGGGGCGCTGGTGTGACTCTGGTCGGTTGGCTCCGGTTAGGGTTGAAGATCGTGGTGAGTATGTTCCCCTGGATGCTGCGTTCCATGTGGCTCCGGATGAACCAGACCCTGAAGGATTTCGCGGCTCGACCCGACGTGAAACAGCATCCTGGATTCTGGGATTTCCTCATCTTCCTCCTCGTCAATCGATGTCCCCTCACGCTCCTTCTGCTCCCGACCATCAAGAGACTGGTAAGGAGTCGCTCGACGATCGACCTTCCGCCGGGATTTTCGTCCCGCTGACTTCGATTTCGGGGAACAGGCGCTCGAGGAGACTCGAGGAGACGAGGGGAATCTGTGGAAGGTCCAGGCGAAGGAGCTGATAACGGGGGAGGGCCTGGTCACGACTCCGCTCTGCAAGGCGTCGCTTGCTGCTTCCCTCGCCGATCAGCTCACGAGCCTCAAGGTCGAGCTCTCCAAGGTCCACTACGAAGGTGAGGCTGGGGGGGGTTGTCTCTTCGTCGCTTTAGAGGGGGTCGGGGGGGTTGAGTCGGTCGAGTGGGGATTTCAGTCGTGTGTATCCCGAATGTGAAGGCAAGCCTTACCTGTAGATGGAATCTGCACGCGAAGCTGCGCGAATAGTTGACTGGGCTTGGTGTCGATCGTTCCTATTGCCGTGCGTAGCAGTGACTTGTGATTCTAGTCCCGTCTTCCGACGGAACGAAGCATTGAAAGTCATGTGCCATGGCCATCTTGTACATATAATGAGAAAACGTACATATTGTAAATATGTGAATTTCCTTCCACTTCCCGATTGAAAAGGAAAAAGCAAGCAAAAGCAAAACTTCTGCAAGTTGAAAATTTTCTACGAAGATAGATATTCAAAGAATGAGTCTCGCTGCAGTTAACGGTACGGAAGTGTGGAAAAGCGTTTCTAAGGTTTCCACGTAAGCGAGACTCTTGGCCTTCGTGGCAGAGGCGAATCGCGATGCTGTCGGTATTCAGAGACAAAGGACAAAGGGGGGAAAAAGACGAGAGATCTGTATTGTCATATTTCATATTCATTCGGAGAGGACATTCATCATGACAAATGGGGGGGGGGGGGGCTTGACAGGCTCCATCCCTCTTCCATGGGCTTTTGCTAGCGTTAAGCGTCGTCGACGATTCCCTCCCACCGTGATGAACGGCGGAGAAGGGTCTCGCTTAAGTGAAAACCTTGGAAAAGGTGTCTTGCATTTTCTTCTTTTTATCCCTCAGGGGGTCTTCCCACCTTGTTGATAGCCTGAGAGTCAATCTGTATCTTTTCATACGGTTAGAAACTCGGATCATCGCCTTCGCTCGAGTGAAATGCGTAGCATGGATGGAGCATTGAATTAGGAGGGAACTTAATATGGTGATGTCGACGGATGAGGTAACTTTCGTTCAGCAAGGGTGAAGACGTGGATGTCCATTCCACGTGAGGAACATTTGGTTTGGGTTGAGAGACCGGACCGGTTTTGCCGTCTGAAACCGAGGAGGAATTCCCGTATTTTTCCCGGTTACTCCGGCATGTTTCGTTGCTTCCAAGGGTGGACACTCCAAACGTAATTCACTTCAGGGAATTTGAATACGCTCCTCTTTTCAATATTTTAAGCAAAACCTTCTGTTAGGTTATTAGATATCGACTTTGGAGAAATTCTAATTTTTCTTGGGAAAATGGGATGGGGTGGGAAAGCCATGCATTTGCACGCATGGCTTCCAACGACAACATAATAACTAGTCATGATCGATATTTCCTATTGATTCTAAATTCCTAAAAAATAATTGATAAATGCATGAAAGTAGGATTTTCATCTAAAAGTTTAATAGAGATACGGTGCATGCATCGACAGTATATCTTCAGCAGTCCAGTATAGAATTACTTGACCATATCCAGTAGCATCAGGAAAAAACTAATTAAGTTTTTAATTAATAAAACAATTAACATGTTATATTTTTGTGCAAGCCTACAGACCGTGACAGTTAATGAGAATGCTCTCACCTTCATAAGACCTCTTTCATGGGTGATTGTTCAACTGCGTATTATAATGTTGATTTAACGCTAGGGTCGTCTTTATGTCGGATTTTTGGATAAGGTTCTAATTTCTAAGGTTGTTGGCAACATCTTTTCCTAATTCTCTTAGAGCTGGTTAGAACGAATCGGGCAATACTGTCATGCGTTTCTTCAACCCTCGGAGGTCGTTGGCTGCCGATTGCCTCGATGAAAAAGCGAACAATTTTCTTTATTTCAACCGAGATATAAATATCTCGGTTGAAATAAAGAAAATCGTTCTCGGTCTGCTGGTACACTCGTCATGTTACCTGCTTCACGCCTTGGAGTATGTAGTTATTGCATTCGTGCGTATTTACAGGAGTTCCACGCAAAAAATTACCAGCCCTATTAATATTTTTCATGGGTTAGCGGTGCAGTGCACAAGACCAGGGAAGCAAAAGAGGATTGATAACAGATTATTGCTGCTAGGCATTAAAGAAGAAGGAAGAAGGGAGAATGAACGGTTGAAACAGTGACGAGATTGCATGGGATAGATGAAGAGTTAAATGATGCTGTAGAACCCAACCGAATAAAAGCCCCTCAACCACGTTATCCCTGTTCAGAGCTTTCCATTTAAAGAAAGTCCACCGTTATATCTGGCTTTTCTTGGCCCTGTTTCCATCAGAGTATTCGGTGAGGGGAGGGAGTAGCAGCCCAGGCCCACCCATCCAAAAGGCCTCTTTCACTGAACTCGTCAACGAAGGTTCCGTCACTCGTATCGCCATCCAAGGAAGTCAGTCCGCTACCTTTCAGTTGTTAGAGATCTGAATGGCTACAGATTTTTGCAAGGGTCTATTGCTTTGCGGCAGAACTGATGGGCCGATTCCCGATCCACACGGGGACTGCAGCTCAACACATTCGCCGTCGGACCAGCTATGCTGGCGAAGCTCTTCAATCTCATCTCTTAGGTCACTGCAGAAACCTTTACAGCTTCCAAAAAATTGGTTAAAGATGCCCTTGTTTGATGCTTGGCAATATTTTCGCAATGCAGGATTGGGAAAGAACAAGACCGTGACTGGATCCGAGCCAAAGTTGTACCGAAAGTCAACAGTGATCTTGAGGAAGGCGACGTCGAAATTGAGCGACCCAGGAGCCAGTGTAGAAGAAGGACAGGAACTAGAAGTTGAAAGCAGCATTGGAGAGGAAGGTGAAGAGTCCCTAGGGTCCTACAGGGCCAGGCATCGGCTTCATCGAAGCCGCAAGGTCCTCCAATTTCGCAAGAGTCGCAAGGGGAACATCCAGGTCCTTGTTGAATCTTCATTACCAATACATCCTCAATTTAAATCTGGCTTGCACAACCCATCTTGATATCTGATTTCGGAATGAGTTCCTCCAGATTTTGTGCATGTCAGACATTTCCTACTCACAAGATGCAATAATTTGTGATCATGTTGTTGGCAGGTGTCTCACATCCCAGTCCAAGACCCAGAAACAGGAGTGGGTTCACCACCTGCATCGGGTAAAGATGTGGGAAAGGAAGGCACCAGGTCCATGCAACAGCTCTCTGTCTCTGCCATCCATCCTCACGTCACCTTTCAAGATGAGGGCATTCGAAGGACCAGCCTCCCTGTCTGGTGAGCATTACTTCCTAATTCACTTATTTCTAAAACAAGTGCATCAAGTTGATGAATCACAGGTCTCATGGAGCAAGTGAGAGCAGCGATGGACAAGAAAGCCGGCGCTCTTGGCCACCTATCAACACCGATGAAAACACACTTCTCTGAAAAAATTCTCGTGTTATTCCATGAAAACTTAAAAAATGATGCTATTTGCTATGAATGAAGGAGAATCCAGTACATAGGGCCTCAGGCAAATTTTTATTTCAAACACCCAAGTTCTTGAAAACCAACCAACAAGATGCAGCCCATATGGCTCCTGGTGGAAAAAAAAAAAATAACAATGGAATGCTTCCCCAGTTGCACCTTGGCCAATGCAAGAAATGAGATTGTTTTGCTTAGCTGCCTGCATTTCCTACCATCACACTGCCCAAATTTCATGCAACTCAAGGCTGACTGAATATTATAATTGCTACCGTACCAGTTTATCTTAGAATTAATACTAGTAAAAATTTGACAAGGAAGGTGGCAAGGAGTGTGCTCAGGCCTAAAGGTTTCAATTATTCCCCATAAAAATAAAGCTAATGCAACTATGTGTATGAATGGATAACAAAAAAGTTGATTTAAAAAACTCAATGATGATAGACTATTGAATCCCAACAGGAACATAAGATGCACTGAAATATACAAGAGAAGATATAAAAAGATTGGAATCTAATATGGAAATACATCTGTGGATGACAAACCCCAAAGATGGTTAAAGTAAACTTCACTTGGGAGTAAAAGAATAAGACATCATTTCTGCTTTTCCTTTTGCTTTCGCAATGCCTTTGCACGAATGGGGGCTAGTTGGAACCACATTATCCAGAGGGCAGAAGATGGCACACAGTAATTGAGGAACCTAATTCCCTCTACCTGCAAAAGTAAAAATATCTCGTGACTGAATATGAAGATGCATCAGCAAGATTTGACAATGAGGTTGAATTACCAAAAGATTGTGGAACCAATATCCGCCAGTGTGTGTCAAATGCAGAACGCAGCGGAGATCAGATCGCACAAACTTCTCTGGTGTGGGGACGACCCAGCTGGCAGTACGGATTCCAGACATGTTAGTTGCCACATACCTATTGCCAAGAGGAAACAATGGAATGAAGTAAAAAAAAACCAAAAGACTTCATATTAGCCTATGTAATCTCAGCTCACCCAGGGGTGACCAAGTGGACAATGATGCCCTTCCGCTTGTACTCAGATGCAAGCCCACGGGAAAAGCTCTCAACAAAAGCCTGTTGAAGAAAATATATGCAAAACTGAATGCCACAAATTCATTTTATCAGTCATGTCCTATGATCATGATAAATACAACTCCAAGTGTCCATTCATTCTAGACTTCTATTTATAATCACCTTGGTTGAAGCATACACATTGAGAAGAGGGACAGGGCAGAGGCCAGAGAGTGAGGAGAGATTAATGATGATCCCCTTCTTCTTCTCAGCCATTGCTGGGAGGACAATACGAGTCATCATCATCATGGACACATTGTTGCATGTGATGAGATCCATGAACTTCTTGTCCCCATCAGGCACTTCAGCAAAGAACTCTGGAAATGGATACGACATCCCCACGTTGTTCACCAATACTCCTATGTCCATTCCATCTAGCTCTTGACGAATTCGCTCATAGATGTCAGTTCGGGTGAAGTCCACATCAATGACGCGAGTCATCACCTTGAACTCCTTCTCTATAAAGAAGAAACATTAGTTAGACTTGAGACTTCATTCTAAATCTTGATAGAGCAGAATGTCATAAATATAACCTTACCAATTTCAGCAGCAACATTTTGTAACTTTGACAGGCTTCGGCTGAGCAGAATGATGTCCATTCCTCGCCTTGCCAACTGGAAGCAAGGAACTTTACCATGAAGAAAAAATTTCCATAACTAGCACCAGTATCTAAGGAAGACTTACCTCTCTTGCATAGGCTCGTCCAATACCATCTGTAGATCCTGTAACAACTACAACGAAAAGCAAGTCTCAGAGAAACACCTAGAAGAATGCCTGGGATCCCTCCCTCAAGCCCAAAAAAAACTTACCTGCCCATCTTCCATAGCTTTTGAATTGTGGAATTGGACAGAACCACTGGTAGAATAAACTTTGAGCAATATGGAACAACTTCGGAATGGCAACAACCACAACCACAAGGACAGTTATAACAGATGCGAAGATGACCCACAGGAGTGGGAGCTTGGACATAAGTAGGCTAAATAACGTCATCTTCCTCGAAGAACACTCTGCAATTATAACAAGGGCAGTTAAAGGCACAAATCCAATCATGCTAAAATAACTATTCAATCTAAACTAATGCCAAGAGCTAACAGGCCTAGCCCTAAGCCCTCCATTAGGCTTGGTCGAAATTCCACACGTTTTCGCGTAAGGCCTAGGCTTACGTTATACTTAACTATGGCCTGTAGCATTTAGGCTACAAAGCCGTGAAGAGATTAGCCACATCACTAGAGGAGAATATGGAGAGGTAGAAACAGCTTCGTCATCATTTCTTCTGGATGGCAACGGCAAATGAACGTAGTCCACGAAGGGTGGAGAGCGAGTGAGAACTGTGGTCAGTAGGCAAGGGAGCTGCCATAAAGCTCAACCTTGACGTCACCAAAGGTGCGGGCAAGATGGCGTGCTATCGTGTATTTGGCGATTTTTTCAGCTATACGACGTTACATGGACGTTCTGACGTGGAATGCTCTTTTTATCCTGTGTCATCCTAGGCCTACAAGTGTAAGTGGTGATATCTGAAATGAGTGTATAACGGTAGCTAACCTAATTCCACCATTTTAGCCATGCATTTGGCTCTTCAATATGAGGAAGGCCCGCAGGAGACTTAACTCGTTACTGGATAGCTACAATAGGCCATTTCATATTGTAAAGAGATGTGTGCACACATCTTTTAGTTGTCTTGATTGAGTGAAAGACTCCTAAGGTATTGACGAAGGGAATGTTTATCTTAGTACCATTCTCCACAACTCTTGCCAGTAATTGCAAAGAAGCAACTGCTGCCAGCAGCCAACTACTTCATTTTGCACCTTGGTAATGCATCCAGTTCTTGAACTGACATTGTTCTGGTATGAATTCTTTGAAGAGGAGAAGATAAAGGTGTTGCCTTATGCCTCTTGTTTCTCAGACCTATTCCCTTGTTGCATATGTGTGTCCCCCAGGCTCAAGGATCTGGATTATAGCGCTTTGTATTCATGTTCAGTTCTGGGAGCTGCTGTTCACCAGTTTTTTTTAAAATACTCCTGAAATGTTGTTTGCAGAAGCTTTTTCTAGACAGGCTAAAGTGGTATGAAATGTACGTAATGAGAGGACATGTTGTGAAGTGGAGACCTTTGCTTTTCTGTTACATTGAATTTGTATGAATGAGTTTTAATCTTTACTTTTGAATGCCCACATTCTATGAATTTTTATCATACCATAACTAAATTTGCAGTTAAGGTAAAAGATTGCTGACAAACTCCAATAAGGAAAGAATCCGATTAAATGCAAAAGTAGCCCTCCCACATTGCATATTGACCAATAATTTTTGCAAATGAAGTCAGTTAGGTCACTTTATTCCACATTAAAAGCAATGGTTCATGGATCTATATGCATTCTGCTATGGTGGTGGCCATACTGATTCCAGAAATCAGCAGTAGTCTTATACATCTCTTGTTATTTGCCATGATCTCAATGACAAGGCTCATGCTGACCATTCCTAACAGCTTCCTTGGTGTTTCTATAAAACCAAAATGGCCCCCTCTATCCTAACTATGCCGACTTCCCACATTCTCACGTGAAGCCTCATGCTAATCCCCCTTCTCTGTATTCATCTGCTCAATGCACGCACCCCATCATTGCCTCTGTAAATTCCTACATTGTCCACTCAAAATATCATTTTTCCACCCTTTCTAGTGACTCCAAGTCAACCATGCCAGCATTTCACCCTCGGGAACAAGTGACCTTTCATTCTAAGCCATAACTAAATTAAGAAACTGAAGAGAACATAACCAGTGATCATTGACCCTAACCAAGTTTGCCGTAGATAATTACCCTTACTAAGGTGTAACTGTGTGGAATGTTCTGTATACCTTCATGCTCCAAGTCCTGTATCAAATTTACTACACTTGCACAAACCTCCTTTAGGCAAGTTAAAGAAGCTCTTCAACTAAAGAGTTTTCTCCCCCCCCCCCCCATAAAAGTTCATGTATTCTTAAATGCTGTTAACTTGAGAAGGTTTTAGCATTTGAGCCTAAGCTTTTACCCCCTAATCCTTTCCTTTCCATCATCTCTGTCTGGATTGTCTCCTTCCATGTGTGAATTCAGATACAGACTGCATGAAAGAGAGACTAGAAATGTCATGGTAGGGAATAGATCCCTAAAGCTGCAGGTCCACTCCACACAAAAGCCAATGTGTTGGTGATAGGTAATTTATTAGTAAGAGCTTGATATCTGGATCTACCTTGGGTCAAAATCAGATAAAGAAATGTTAAAAGGATGCCTCTCTCTAGAATGAAGTGTGCTCAAAGAAGACAGGGCATAAAAATGTGATCATGATTTGAGCATGATGGGTTGTGCCTCAAAAGTGAACTCCTCAGGTTTTTTTTCAAAGACTGCATCTGGGATACTTATGCCAATCTATGAGGCTTCTTATCTTGTTAGATGTTTTGCTCATAGTCCTCTGCCATTCTTATCTATAATCACATGTTTCATGATCCAGGATCTTCCCATCACTCTACTTGATACTGTGTCTATGTGTATAGTGGACTCTGCTAAGGTCATAGGACTAAGCCTACATAGCTGATACCTAGTTATAAGGTAGGCAATCCAGATCTATTCCAACTTTTTATCCTTTCAGGTTCATGTATGGTGAAGATGTTGAAGAAGTCATGACTAAGGAGAATGTATTGGTATAATATGATTTCAGCATGATGTATGCATGTTTGGGTCAGTAAAAGAAGCAATAAATTTTGAAGTGATAGTGTAGACTAGACTCCTAAAAATATCCATCAATTGCAAAATGGCAGAAGACATTCAAGCGTGCAAAGACACAACTGACATTATTGAAGTGAACCGCCAACATGGGCTGTACTTGAAACCTCTGGCCAGATTAACTGTGACTGTTCAGTTACCTCAGCTAAAGACAACCAATCAGGCCATTTCTAACTGGGAGGTGATGGAGAAAATCCGTGCTGTGATAAAACCAGAAGAATTCCTCACCCTCAAGGTTTGTTTCAGTTCTCTGTTCTCTTGAATGGAATTCCTTGAGATGATTAATCCATTTACCCCTCATGGCTCTTAATTTTTTCCCTCTTCTTTGTCAAGGTTTCAAAAACAACCTTGGAAGTCCTGCGATTTGAAGGAGAAATAGACAGCAAGACAAATCTGCAGATTGTGATTTCTAAACTTGATCAGAAGTCCATAAAATTGAGTGGCTTCTCTGAGCCATTGAAGGTGAAGGCAGCAGAAGCCAAGGTCCCCTTCCCTACCCGACATGACTGGGATACTTTCTTCCGAGAAGCCAAGAATATGAATGAGATGAAGCCTGGTGAGAATTGCTCTTCAACCTTCCATATTCTGACAGAAACCATAATTACAAGTAGGCCTGCAATAACATATATTACCCCCCATTCATCATCCTAGGTGAGCGACCAGATACCATTCATATTGAAGGGCTTCCCACAAAATGGTTTTTTGCACATGATGATCCTGTGAAGAACCGACCAAGTGAAATTCTTGTTAAGCAGACATTTGAGCCGTGGGGTGAAATTCGTTGCATTGACATTCCCTGCCTCGACTCATACAGAGAACAAATGTCATCCAATGTAGCAGGTTAGCAGAGACCTCTTCCCTATCTTCTTTGTTTTTAATGCACTGCTTCCATCAGGCATATTTGTTGTTACAGGGATCAAGCCCTTCTCATTCAAATCAGATGTTTCATTTGAGGCCTACATTCAGTATAAGGAGTATATTGGGTTTGTCAAGGCCATGACTGCTCTCAGAGGGATGAAGCTTGTGCTTGTCCAAAATGGAAATGCACATGTTGCATCAATAAAGGCAAGCCTCTTACAGGTGTTCCTTCATAAGGAAAAAGCCTTAATTATCTGGACAGTCCATGTTTCAAGTTTTCTAATTTTGTTACTATTATTTATTCCCTTTGCCATTTCCAGGTGGACTTTGATCGAACAAAGCATCTGAGTGAAGCGTCAATTCGTAGAAGGAGACAGGAACGTGAGAAACTCGTTCAGCAGGCAAAGGAAGAGGAAGAAAGGCAAAGAAGGGAGATGGAATTGCAGCACATGAAGTTACAAGAAGCAAAGTGAGCTCAAGTCCCAAGGAAATCCTTAAGACTTTGCCACTAGCAAACAGTGGGAACAGGAATGTTGCTGGCATGTAGATGTCATGGGTCTTAGACACTCCAATGATTAAGATCTAAATTCATTTATTTTGGTTTGAGGCATTTTCTGTTTTATCAGGGTCTTAATGCATAGATTAAATTGGGAAACAGGGACTCAGTTTTGTTAAACGTGGCTAACCAAGATTTCAGCAGAATTAAAATAATAGTGTTGGTTCATTGTACTCTCATCCCAGGATGACTTTTGGCAGCAGAGCATGCAGCAAGCAAACTGATTTGTCTACAACCCAGAAACAGGACTAGCTATGAGTACCACTGCAGGGAAGATCAACTACTGAAAATTTCATAGTTCAAGTTATATGCACTCTGAAGGCTGTTGTCATGGGTCCTAGAAAACCCCAAGTGCCACTCTTTTTATAAGTACCTGGAAGGAGACCTTGCAGTAACTCCATCTATAGAAATTGTATCAAATTTTTACCATGTGATGCATTAGTTTTAATCACCTAGTATAGTGCAGGGGTACCTATTTTTAACAAGGAACAGATTGTGACAGGTTTGAGGGAAAGCTTAGGCTCTTTTTTAATGGACAAGGCTAGAGGTTTTTATAATCCAGAATATAGGGGATCTTACTTCCAGTCTCAGGCAATGAATGCTGGAATATGAACAGACAGATTCATAAGCAAGGGTGCTGGCGCTGTATCGTGACTAGTGCTCTATTTTTTATTATTCAAGTGACTTCCAGTTTGATAAAAGTTTCACTATGTTTAGATAGATGCATCTATACAAAATTGTGGGCTCTTTTTCAAGTGTCTATGAGGCAATTAGCCAAAATGCTTGTAATGCACATGTACTTTATGATATCTTTATTTCACTCTGTACCTTTGTCTAGACGCCAGCAGATACAGGGAGTGGTAGAAAAAAAGCGCAAGAAAATTGAGAAGAAAAAGATGAAAGTTGAAAAGCGAAAAAAGAAAGAAGAGCGAAAGATCCAAAAGAAACTCTTGCGACTTCGATTGATGGAAGAAAAAGATTTATCAGTGAAGATAGCAATGGAGGAGAGGAAGCTCCTCATTGCTCAACGCAAGTTGGAAAGCATTCGCCTCCTTGATGAGCTTTTTGAAAGGGTCAAGGTGAATTCATCTCTTTTCCTTTTTCAGTCGTGTTGTCTTTTTGGTATGGTATTCATATCATGTTGCAGATACTAGTGTAAACATGTAGCTGTAGTTTGAGTTATTGACAGCTTCTAGTAGTTCATCACTACTATTAATATAACGACAACAATTGAGCCTATATCTATGTCAAGAGACAGAAGAGATGTTCATTCCATGAAAAGTTTACTTGTCTAAGTATAGTTGAAAATTTTCAACTTCTGGAGGCTCCAATTCTGTTGCACATATGCTCAAGAGCCCATGACATTGTCTCACATGGTCCTGTGGCCATGTCCATAGATTGTTGAGTAGTTATGCTTTTAGTATACTCGTTTTTTCCTGACTGGACATTTGGACTTGAGAAGGTTGATATGGTGCCAGCAAAATCTGAGAGGACAGAAGTCTAGCTTGCATTTCACACCTTCAGTTGTCAATTTTTTTAATACTTAAAAATCAGACAAAGACTCTGAAATTTCATGCCCCTGGAAATCTGATATAGCATCTTCTTTAGTTGTGGGAATGTGCCAGTCTCTCAGATAATACATCCTACATAGCTCTATTTTTTACTTCAAGGCCATACATCATAAAGGATCCAGTATTTAAAAGCACATATGTAATCAAAGTGTCAGTGATATCAGAAATGACTCACTTTTATGAGATTTTCACTTTAGTAAGTTTGGTTTTTTTTTTGCTACTGTTGAGGAAATGAGGCTTTGATCGTGGTGTGATAGCCAATTGGAGAGGCAACCCCTGTTGCCTGACTGAAGTTGCCAAAGTTAATGTGATATTGATTGACACATTATGTTTGTACAAGGGTTGAGAAGCAGGGAAAAGCCATGAAGACAGGTATGCAAAGTTCATCAAGACATGCCATGGTGAGTTGGCAACCTCTTTGAATGGGTAATCTAAATTTTGCCAAGTTGTGGTCTTTGCATTCCTTCTGTCTCCCTACCATAGATATTTGTTCACTAAAAGCGCCAATCAACTTGGGACATTTGTCCCAGTCAGACCAAATTCAGGTGTCCCGTCAGGCCTAAAAGGCCTCAACTCCCATTATTCAATAATGTTCTGGATTTAGCATTCTAGCTTTCAGGTTCATTCAATAAATTTCAGATTCAATGGAAACTCACTTCATATTCAAACTTTGAATAAGAGAAGGAAGCATAAATATCGATGTCTTGGAATATCAACTAGTTAACATCAGGTTGGTTTTTAAATGGAATCTGAAATCATTGTGTTCAGGTATGATAAAATAAATACCTGAAATGAAAAATGAAATATAGTTGGTAAACTTGATGCTCCAGATTTATGATAACATTAAACATTTTTTAGGTTTTCAATGACTTTAGCAACTTTCACCTAACTTGTTAATTTCAGCCTCAATCAGAATTGCACTTCCTCCATGTTTTAAATTTGGCATCCTAAGGAAGTACATCATTTAGGAAGTATAGATTGAGATGTTTAAGTTTTTTTTAATGGTCCATTCATTGGATTAAACCTTCACTTTAAATTTTGCTTTCAAGGAGATTGAAATAATCAAGACAGCAAAACTTTGACAATGAGCAGGGTTACAGTTTGGTGTAGTATTGAATCCTTTTTTTTTTCAGTTAGCCCAAATGCACAAGCCTCATTGAGGTGAGATAAAGGGGGCCTTTAAGCTGAAGAGATCTTTTTTCCCCAATAGGAATCCATGTATTCTTAAAGGACCAAAATTTCAGCATTTGGGTCTTAAATTTGTCTCAACTGCTTTATGCCATGGGAAAGGAAACATTGATCCAAAGTTGAACCCAGCAGTTATTTGCTTCTTCCTCATTTTCATTCCCTTTACACAATATGCAAAAATTGCTAAGAAGAAAATTTAAGTTTTTGCATGAATTGAATTTATGTTCTGCCCTGAAGCATAGGGTGTGCTCTTTTTGCATCTACTGCAAGTGCTGCATACATTGTTGTTTTAAATGCCACTGTTTGCTGTCATGCACAGCGAACTCTGTACCACTTCTGTATTTGCTGCAGCTATCTTGTAGTGAGTGCTTTAAAAATTACACCTATTATCTAGAATCTTTTCTTGTCATGTTATTGGTATAGAAAGACATTAGTGTGACTTTGATGAGTGAATATTCATAATGGACCTGTTCATATTTGCTAATCAAGCTTCAGATACCTGGTTTGCTTCTCAGAAAAGAAAAGAGGGGAAATATATATACAAGATCATGAAGAGAGAAAAGAAGAGATATAAGGAAGCAGGAGGCAAAACCACCAGAAAAGTTTGCCTGTTTGCAAATTTCCTTCCTCTATAGAAAATGCTGCTAGACCAACAAAATAATGTAAACAGACATTTTTCTTGAAATGTGGAAGGGAATGTAAAATTAGTGAATATCTGAACTATCATGTGCTTCTTCCAAGTTCTAATTAATTATCAGTTTATAGAACCTTGGTCAATTTGTTGAAAGTGTACAACTCATTCTGCAGCATGCAATGCTACCCCAAATTGTCACCCCCTTCATTGTTACCTTTGGAAGGATTGCTGTAGGATAGTCAATATTTTGTAGCCATGTGCTAAATTTACAATTTACACGGTGCTGGATCTTCTAAGATGATAGAAGTAGGCCAATGTTACCTGTTTTCTTAATCCAAATTAAGCAATAATTTTTATCAGAGCAATCTCCTACTTATCAATGGTGAAAACTCATTGCAGATTAAAGAAAAGGCACATGTTCTTGGACACCCTGGTTCTAGAAGTGTAGGAATATAATCATAGGACACAATTTAGCTGCCTTTATTCTCTCTTTGAAGGAGTATCTGCTCCCAGAGGAGACTTTGGTGATCCAGTGTCTTCCATCCTGTTCTTCAGCACTGCATTGCATATTATAGTGCATCCATTCAAACCACGGGTTGTCAGATCTATGTGGCATCAGTCTAATGAGGGTGAGAAGTAGGAAGCGTCAATCAAATAGGCCACCCACAAACCCAAGGGTGACTACTCCCTTTTTTGAGGGGGAAAAGAGATCAATGAATGTATGAGGAGAGGTATTTTTTTTAGAATTTTTGGAAGTAGCTTGAAAGGAGAAGTTCCACCACTGGTTTCCTTCTTCACTCCCCCTCTCCCCTCAATCACGGTTTTCCCTTTGGTCCCAGTGCTGCCTGACACACTAATGTCTTCCTTTGCTTATCTTTCTCAACCCGTGATTTGAATGGATGCACTATAAAACAGTAATGTGTGTGTAATGCAGTAAAGGAAATATAGGTCTGTCCCATCTGAATTGGATGGTTGAAACATAAGTATGGTGAAGCTTTTGTTAAAATGAGTAAAAGTTTTTGCACCTCCTGCATATTTTAGATTTGCTTTCACTCTTATACTTTGTGACTTGTGATCAAATTGCAGCTGCTTTAGGGCTCTTCGCTCTTTTCTCTTGATCTTCTTGAGCACATTGACCTTCCAATATGCACACACTACCTCCACAGCATACTCTAATCACTTGTTCTTGTGCCCAGAAAGGAACTATGTCCTTTTGAGCAGATGACTTCACTATGCTCATGCTGAGTGGTACCTCTTGCTGTGCACATATCATCCAAGATTGCTGGAAATTTTTGAAAACCATGCATATTTCTATCATCTTATTTGTGTTGTACCAGATCTAGCACCATGTAAATCCTGCCTTTCTCAGGGCCAGTTGTTCTCTTGCCATTTCCTTCATGTTCCAGATGACTTGTTTTTGTGTGTTTGAAAAATGAAAGTGAGGGTGTGAGAGAGGGTAAGAAAAAGGGGGAGATCCTTTTAACTCCACCCTGGAAATTCAAAGATGGCATTGATGTTAAAATCTGAATACTTATGACATATGGTGTGCTGAAGCACAGTCGGTAGCAAAACGTTCTTCTCCAGATGGTAAGTGTCTCTTCCCTTCTTCCTCCAGTGTCATACTGTAATTCTAGAGGGAAAACCTCAATTTCACCTGGAAGAGTGCCTTTTCACCATCTGCTCATGGCTCTGAACTTAAGAACAACTTTATGAACCCAGAAGGACTCTTGTTGGGGGGGCATGTGGGAAAGAACAGAAGCATCCCATCTTGTCTACTTGAAGTGGAACTGTCAAGTATGATGGTTATATGTAGTGGTATATGTACAGATGAAGGCATTTCTATCATGATAGTCCCATCATCATCATTCCATGGTTCTAAAGCAGTGGTGCACAACCTTTTCCCTGTAGAGGGCCAAAATTTAGATTTTGGCTCATGTTTGAGGGGATGGAGGGCCGCAGACCCTCGAACATGAGCATAAATAGGCCACATATAAATATGGATCTTTAGAGACCGGAGGCATCCAAGGGGCTGCAAAAAAGGTCTCTGCAGGCCGTGGGTTGTGCATCACTGTTCTAAAGTAAGCCTGCTCCGAGGCTTTGATCTTGAACATTGTATTCATAATCTTGATTCATGTATGAAAGATTGATTCAGAGTTTTTTTTGGCCTGGGTTCATGACAGAAAGACCAATAGTTTGTTTCATTCATTATTATGCATATGATGGTTGCATTATTTATACTTCCACTGATAGTCTTTATGTACCTTTATTGCTCTTATGGACTGGGAACACATGAGGAGACTGATGAATCTTTTTTCCTCTTTCCTGTGAACTGAGTCATTACTGGATAGATATCTCATCTGAGAATTTCCCTTCTCCATGAGAGAGGAAGGAGAAAGGAGACTGTGATAATACCAGAGAGAATATGTGCCTGGAAGTGAAATCCTGGAGTATTGAGGAATCAAGTGTGTTTCATGATGGAAGCAAATGACATAAGCCTGAACATCTTGCAAGTTATCTCTGGCATGTACTGGAATTTCTCTGGAATCTTGAACGAAAGAGTGATGTGATATGTCATATTCCCACATTGTGGAAGGAGGACATGGTGGTCAATGAAGAGAGGAAGATGGCAGAAATGATCTCAACAGAGGCATCACCCCCAGGCATCAGCAAGAAGATTGTGCAACTATGGAAGATTCACCACTTGTGTGCTTCGTATCCTCCTAGAAATAAGCTAAAAGCCTTCTAGTAGAAATAACAAATATGTTTGTGGTTTGAGAGTGCTAGGTAGGTGTGAATCCTGCGAGGTTTGCTAGCCTTTACTTTTCTCATTTTTCAGGTTTGCTTCAGTTGTTGTTTGTGATATTGAGCCCCAAAGTCAGTTGAGGCAATTGCCAGGCACTCAACTGAAAGCCAGGGAGCTCAAGATGAATCATTTATACTCCAGATGCCATCTTTTAGGGATGAAATGGAATTACTGGGACACGGGGATGGTGGATGTCATTGTCCATGTTTGTGTTCTAAATGTGCATAAATTGTTGTTCAGGTGTCACAACAGAAAAAGCAGCTGAAAAATGCTAAGGATGAGGTCCTCCACCAGGCCAAGGAAAATGAGCCTAATGATGACCAGGCTTCCAAATTGGTATGCTTTGCTTTGAAAGAGTTTATGACTTCCCTTTATAATTTTGATATTGCATTGAATGCTCTCCTCTCTAAATGATGCAGGACTCTGAAGAAACTCCAGAGTCAATGCAAGAGAAGGAGGTACTATTACGTGCCAAACTGGTGCGAAACTTCAAGGCACACCAGGAGAAGACACTGGATCAACAGAGGGAGAAGTTACGTAAGGCTCTTCAGGTATGCCTCTGACTGGTATATAGCATGAAGCATATGCACTTTGTTCCTTTTTTTTATTACCTCCTTCATGGTGAAATGAAAAATTTATAGGAGAAAGCTGTGCAGTTGAAGTCAGTGCTGAAGTTGGGAATGGAAGAGAACCTGGATCTACTTGATGAAGGGGGTGATAGCCTGAGTGAGATTTCTTCTGGTGATGAGGACTCAGACCTGTCCTCCCTCATGGGCAATGATAGTGACTTGCCAGAAGTGGGAGAGGAGACTTTGGCCATAATGGGAGGTCCTTTTCCCCCTCATACTGGTCCTGGGCCTCATCCAATGCCACCTATAGAAGGACCTCCAGGTCCATTTCCTCCAGGAGGACCTGAAGGAATGTTTGGCCCTCCTCCTGGCTTTGATCCTAACATGTTCCCTCCGGTATGTCTACTTCATTGGTTGTTTTTGCTTGCAAAGCTCCTTAACCCTTTTGGGGTCTGCACCCAAGTTATCTCATGTTGGCCTCATGATGGGTGATGGGAAAAAACTTGGATGACATGCTGACTTATCCAAAATACTTGGACCCCAAAGGGTTAAACATATTTAATTCCTTTGCCATTTGCACTGAGTTTACTGTATCTGTAGTGTGATGTTCTGCAAAGAGAGCATGAGTACGAAACTCTCATAAGCAAAACCCTACCCTGTCTTTTTTTAGTGGGGAAATGGACATGAAATTGCCTCCTGCTTTGCTCCCCCCTCCCCACCATATTCTCTGATCCATCTAGTGAAACAGAGAATGTGACTATATTACTCTTCTTAGCATCCATCCAATGACTGTGGCACTAAGGATCTCTCTAGACTCCAGCAAGGGCCAACAGATTGCCAGACTGAAATTTGATCACCTCTAGGATGTGAAATCACCAGTGTGTTAAGTTGATTATGAATCTAGAGCAGGGGTGCTCAAAGTGCGGTCCATGGGCCGCATCCAGTACACAAAGTGCCTTAGAGAACATCCACTTTGGGCACCCTTGATCTAGAGAATCTGCTGAGCAGAAACTACTCCTAATTGAATTTTTTCCCCATTTAGCATTGTCTCTACCCACTGGATCCTTCTTTGTACTTATAACAAAGGATTGTGGGCACATTACCATCATCAGGAGGTGGGTGTCAGAGTCCACATGGGCATTTTTTTTAGTAGCTCCAAAGAATACACTGCATTGGCTTGAGGACCCCCAAGGTCAACATATTCCTTTAAGTGATGGAATCTGGAAAAAGAAGCCAAAGCTAAAGATTTTACTAGCAGCTGTCCATGTGAAACCCACAGTCCTGCACTCCTGTAATATGCACTGACTAGCAACATGGGTAACATGGTGACCATGCTCCATTATGATCAGCAATGCAGGAACATTGGATGGAATACTAAGGGGAAATGTTTCTGAAAATATGCAAAAATATCAGGAGGAGGAGGACAATGACCTTGATTGTTCTTTAACCCATGTGTGAGGTATACAGGGGGTGGTGGTGGGTCACCTGGGGATATCCTGCATTATGAATCTGAAATTGAAAGATATCTTCGTGCTACAGGTCGTTAGCAAAGCAGGCCTTCAAACCTGCAATCAGCCTTTTTCTGCAAGTAGTAAATGGTGACTTAAAAATCCTGAATATTTGAGAAGGATATCATTATCTGGCCAAGTTCTTTATGGCCTTTACGATTGTTTGTCCCATCTTTTTGGAACCACATCCTGTCAGCATTCATGTGTCATTTGTCAACATTTTTACTGCACAAATGCTGAAAGAACCTAATTTCCTAAGAATTTCTCCCTTGTTTCATCTTGCAGCAAGGCATGGGTGGCTTCCAAGGCCCTCCAAATCGGGGCTTCCCTGATAACCGAGGCTTCCGTGGGGGATTCCGAGGTAGAAACCGCTTCCCACGTCAAAGGGGTAGATTCTTCCGCCCCTATTTTTTCAGGTAAGATAACTGAACACTTGCACTCATTGTGTTACACCTATGGCTGCATGTAATGAATCTATTCTTTTTCCTTTTTTATTATCTTTTTTTCACCTGCAGGGGGAATATGATGAATCGTGGAGGCTTCCGGGGTCGTGGCATGCACCAAAATCCTAATCAGCCATACATCCACCCAAAACTCAGGAAGAAATTCATTGGGTTGGATTATGATCCAGAACAAGAGGGCAAGCTAGAAGAATCTAATCAAGAGGGTGGAAATCGGAGACATCGTAGGAGACGCAGCTACCGTGATGGTATGTCCCCTTGGAGTCCCCTTCATCCTTGGAGTCTTATGCTGTATTCCATCACTTTTATTCTACTCTTGATGTTTCAGGGTTATTTATAGGACTACTTTTTATGATGGTCAGTTATTTGTCCTTCATTCCACAAGTTTCTTATTTCTGCCCTGTTACCATCTTCAAAGTGTTTAGTCCTCTCATTCACGAAGCATTATGAGGGGAAAGTGTGTTGTTCTCTAAAATTTTGGCTTTTCATAAAAAAAATGAAAACCTTTCTTTGCCAAATGATGACTCAGTTTTATTTTATTTGGATTCAGCAGACTATTAATCATTTTAAGTATTTTAATAGATATTAATCATAATTGATTATACATTAGTGTTCTCCTTCATTTCTCTATCTAGTGGCTCCTCTCTTGACTGGATGATGAATTTTTTTGGGGGCTAGAAATCATGAAATGTCTTGACCCTTTCAGACCCACAGCTTTAAAGCTTTAAAGGTGCCAGTCTCTCCTTTGCTACCAAGTTCAAAATAAGGAAATTAATAAATATTAGCTTTCTGGCTCCATAGCAGCTCCAAATTGTATTGTTAGGCTTTATATGTATTATTAATTCTGTTTTAAGTAACATGAAAATGGAAAAAGTTATCTAAATTATTTTGTTTGTTGGGTGCTATCAAAATTTGGATAGAGAGTGTCAAAATTGGAGCTAAAGATGAATCGATGAGGATCTTATGGTATGATTGTGCTTCATCATTCTTGCAGTGCCAGTCTGGTAATGTTATTGACTTGGTTTGTTTAAATTTAATAAGTGAATTATTGGCAGGTTAATCTGCAATTGACTTAACAAACAACAGTATTGAATTTGAATTAAAGGACTCATGTAAGTCTTTACATTTCCTGATCTATGTATCTTTTAGATTATGACTCAAGATCAGATAGATCTTCACCAAGTCGATCAAGAAGCCGAAGTAGGAGTCGTAGCCGCAGCCGTAGTCGCTCCCGCAGTCGGAGTCGATCGAGATCTCATTCAAGATCTGGGTCTTCAAGGAGTCGACGCAGTCGCAGTTCCTCGACGCGATCGCGTAGTCACCGAAGCTACAGCAGAAGCCGTAGCCGGAGTCGACATTCCTACTCTTCGGAAGGTAGCGACCGTCGCAAGATCAGCTACAATTTTGGTCGGGGATATCATCGCCAACAGCAGCAGACACAACCACAGCAGCAACAGGGCTATAACCAACAGTATCAGGGAAACTGGCGTGGAGGGAGGGAGGGTCAACGTTGGAATCGCTTCTCCAGGGGCCAGGGATGGCGTGGAGGGAATCGTACTCCTCGTCGCGGCCAGGGTTACATGTACAATCAAGGACAAGAGGGGCGAGGTTATCAACAACATCGTGGCAGGGGGAAGCCCTTCCATGGAGCTTCTTACTACACTGGCCTGGATGAGGCCTATGAGAAGTACTTTGCCAAGCTGGCTGCCAAGGAACAGAACAAGAAATCTAGTCGTCGAAGCGTGACGAGAAGTCGAAGTGTGACTCCGGCTTCAGGCTTTGAAGAAAGGGAATCTCCTTCTAGTTACAGGTATGGTTACAGTTGCTGTCCATGCTCAAATCACAGCCTTGTCACCTGTTCTGCATGGGAGACAGGTTTGGATCTTGATCTCTGCCAGGTCATGTAGACCCCAAGTGGCACTCCCAAACACAGAGTACTCTGTCTCTCTTTCTTTACCTCCCTCTGTATGTTTCACAGGAATAAAATTTTATGGGTCTGTGAAGCCTTTCTCAGCTTTCTGGACCCTACCTTGATGGTATGGAGATCTTCCTGCATGTCTGTTCATAGATCTATTTGTTGATTTTAATTATTAATATTTTTTATGCTTCAATTAACATTTGCATTAAGACTTGCAACCTTTCCTAGAACTTGTAAAGACCCCCCACATATACCAGTTTGTATTGCAGGAACCCAATGCAAGAGTGTCAGCTCTGGTGCTCTATATGAGCATACTTTTTCCTCTGAGGGGAATACCACTGCTTGTTTAATTTTTTTTGTCTCCATGAGAGACTTTAAAATGTAAAAATTCAATTTATTTCATTAACCCAAGTAGCCCTTTTCATCTCACAGAGCAATAGTTCCCATGTTGAATGGAGAAGGAGGTTTGATTGAAAATAATATCCACCCTTGTTAAGTGTACAATGTGAAGGATGATCAAAAAGTTTTGAGCCTTGTTACCTTACATCCCACTTGCACACTTTGAGCCAAAATTTTCCAGTGCATGCATGCTAGACATGCTTTTCTTGTAATTGCAGAACAAACATTCCATGCAATGTTTCTGCTTCATGTCAACGTGTATTAAGAAATCAGCAAAAATTGTGATGTAATTGTTATAAAATGTTTAACCCTCAAGGATGTTTAGTTTAAGGAGATCTGTGTGAATATTTTTCACATTTTTGAGTGTACATATAGATCTTGTTGGGCTGAACATCCTCAATGGCCAAGAATTCCATGAAAGCATCTAGAGCAGATATCACATGCTTCATCAGATTTGTTGAATGAGGGCAGAAATCATACAATTTCAGAAAAAAGACAGGAAAATGGTCTCTGATGTCCATTTTACAATGATGAAAGTGTGCTAGTGGAAAGTAAGGGGGCTCAACTTTTTGACTGTCATACCTATCATGTAAGGTGATATTTTGCAGCGCAAAATTTTTCTATAAATTAGACGCAAGTGAGAACTAATACATCCACGGTGAGTGACTACTCTATTTCTCTTGTTTTCCCTAGCTGAAGTGGATCGTTTCTGCCTGTTTAGCTCATCTCTTACAATCATTCCATTTCCTTTCATTAGATGCATTTAGATGCAAAATTAATGTCCAGAATTACATATGATTTCATGGTACAATGTGACTTGCAGGTATAAGGGTCGAGAATACAGAAACCGCGGGAAAGAAGAAAGCGAGAAAGAGGAGGAACACTTCCATGAGAGAAACCGTGATATGGAAGAATTGTCTCTGGCGCGCAAGAGACGCTTCAGCAGCGAGTTGGAGCTCAGCGAAGTAGAAGAAGCCCCACGGAAGAAGAAATCCAAGAAGACCAAGAAAAAGAAGAAGCACAAGGAGAAGAGCAAAAAGAAGAAGCATCACCAGTCAGAATCAGAAGAATTCAGCTGTTGACACGTGGTGAACTTGTTCACTTTCCACCGCCTATGTTGTGGGTTTTCTAGTGGGCATCATTGGTTTAAGTTAGTTGTGGTACCTGGAAGTCACAGAGACATTGATATGTTGTATGAATAATGGAGGAGTACAAAAAACCTCACCCCATGTTCAACCCCGGAGTTTCCTTTCTCAGCACTTTTTGTTTGCTCATGTGACAGTCACTGAGACTGTAGAACTCACTGCAGGTGCTATTTTAGGCGTTTCCCGTCGTCAGATACACTACATTGTTACAAGTGGAGATCAGGGAAAGGACAGATCCCAAACAAGTTTCTGTTCCATGTGATTTCCTTCCAGGAAAATAAGTAAACAAAAATTGAATCTATTCAAAGTTGTTCAATATATTTCACCCACTCAGCGTAAATGATAGTGCAGCAATGAAAAGTCTTTTCCCACCATGTGAAATCCCATTCTGCATAGAAATTCTTGCTTTCAGCAACCAGAAGAAAATTGCTCATGCTCTTATTGTGTTTCCACGCACCTCTCGTATACTGTCAGTGCTACGAATCGAATGCAGAACGCTGCTGGATTCTCACTCAAAGCGAATACGTTCCGTGCACTGGTAGTGGCAAAACAATATATTAAAAGAAGGAAATAAACTAATTAAGGCTGAAAACCTGAGTCTCTGAGAATGAGCTTTCCTATATTGCGACCTGCTTTTCTACTACTATCACTGTATCATGCTGTAAGTGGGGGGGGGGGGGGGTTGAGCGCATTTGTAATGCCTGAGATTCCGTCACTTCTAGCACAATGGTCTGGGAGCATCACGTAGGAAGGACTTAACCTTCTTTGGAATGAGGACGTTATGCAGTCATTTAAACGTCAGGAAAGTAGCGGTAAATCAAGTTGTCAAGTCGAATGAAGCGGGAGAGATTTATCATTAGCTTCTTAGGCCTTAGCTTAAGGTCTTAAGCCTTTTAACCACTTATATATGTACGTTCCTTGTTCTCTGCGTTGCGCCTGCAGGTCTTGTGCTCTCGGATTTTGATACTTGGAACCCGAAGTCCCTGCGAAAGTTCCTCAGTAACGAAAAAAAAAATGTATCTGCTGTATCTCCAGTTTCCCCAAGGTGTAGATTTCCTTTAGAGCGCCTAGTACTCCTCGTGATGCGTATGCATTCTACCCTAAACCTTTTTCATCGAATACAATTTTTCCAGGAATTTTTGGCTAATGCGACTCATTCTGCGAAGTTGGACGCGATCCGATGCGGAAACGTGCAGTTGGGATTACTCATTCGCTCTGACGTCGAAAAGGCCAGCCCGTGCCTTTCGACGGTGAATCACGCCAGAAGACGCGGCTTTCTCTGTATTCCGTGGATCTGGACGAATCGATTTGGGTGACGAAATTCTCTGTAGACGAAAATGAGACGAGGGAATGCCGTCTCACGGTGCGAGGATGAACAATTCTGAATCTTGCGATTCATAATAATAAAATAAGAATTTATTCTTAAATTAATAATGAAGTTTAGGAATATCATTTAGGCGTTGGTAGCTGAAAAAAAAACTCAGTGGTTGACGTGGACTGTCGTAAATAAATATCGCTTTAAAAGCACCGGTTTCCGACTTCAATCGCTGACTCGTCTGCAGTGCGGCAAGACACGAATTTGCATTTTTGAGTTTTGGGTATTTTTTTTTTACTCCATCCACTTGGGAAATTTAAAGAAAAAAGTCAAACATCTCGGACTGATAATTTGTTTCATCGCAGATAATTTTTCGAATTTTTAATTTTAAATTTCGCGCCTCGCCGTCTGTCAAGGCCGAATTCTGCCCGCTCGAAGGACTGCCTTCGACGCGGATTCCTGGGCATTTTTAAGGTTGTTTCGTCGCATCGGCAATTAGTATGCATGCCACGGGAGATGTTTCCCATGTCCGTGCGTCGTAACCGCCGGGAAACAGAGGGGGAAAAGGTGAAGAAAAAAAAAAGCATCTGGACTTTGAGATCCGCATGCTGTTCATAAACAATCAGCTTACCTTAAAAAAAAAAAAATTCGCCACAACCGGAAATGCGAAAATTCCAACTCCTTTCCTCCATGAAACCGATCGCGGGTCGTTGGAGTTAATGAGTTTCTGTCAATTAACCTCGTGTATAATTTTTTCGGTGGTTATTTAACCAGTAGGTCTCTCGTCGCGTTCGCACGACGGCATGGTACAGCTTCATTGTTAGTCTGATATAAATTGGTTTCGTACTGCTTGGGAAAAGGGCCCTGAAATGAGCCGAGGCATCAGTCTCCTGAGAACGGTCCCCTGAGAACGGTCCCCTGGGAACGGTCCCCTGGGTGCAGTCCCTCCTATGAACACCTGCTCCGAATTCTTAAAACGGAGAGAGGCTTTTGCGATTTCGTTTCGCGTCGAGTATTTACATCGTGGAGCGTGCGAGTTTTGGGATTCTTCCTGGAGAAAAAAAAAAATTATGCGAAAAAATTATCTGGAGGAAATTCACTCGTTTTCCGTCTCAGTTGTCGCGTGCTAAGTCGGTCGAGCGGAAAACTAATCTGGATATTTGTGAATGAGTCACTATGGGATCCGATTCGTCTGGGTTAAGCTCATTCCGATCAATGACAACACGGAACGGGATCGGTTTGAGGCAACGCGGATCTGGTGGTGCCTGTCACCCCATCCTCTGTGCCTGTCACCCCATCCTCTGTGCCTGTCACCTCATTCTTTAAGGGGCTCCCATTCTTTCGCCGGGAGGGGGGTTTGCAGAGAGCATTCATTTTAAACTCATTTTGAAAGGAAAAGGGGAATTTGTTCACGTACAACGGCTGACATGTGTAACGAGGATTTTTCCACCTATTCGAAAGGTCCAATCAAATGTGGTATTTTACGACTTGAAAAATCCAGGAGTGCTGCGACCGATCCCGGCAATCCACGAGCGACGCTACCATTATAAAAACGCGAAAAAAAAGTCGTGCTAGTCTCGCCTCATGCGACCTCCCGTGTCGCCAATCCGTCTGATCGGACGGTCGACGTGACGTGACGTGACGCAAGGGCGACGCGGCGTGCCGACCGGGGAGTTCGATCTCTTTCCTTCCGCATCGGCTTTTAAAAACCTTCGGCATCAGCACTCGCGAAGGAACAAAAATCGCGTCGCCGTTAGATGCGAAGATAACGGGGTGACACGCGGCCGAGCCGGTCCCCGCGGCCGAGCCGGTCCCTGCAGCGGCCATCCCTGATTGATGGCCGTCGGCGAATGAATGAATGCCTCCGTTCTTTTCTCAGGGGAATCGGGATCGTCTCGCTCGGGTCTTCCCATTCCGACCCCATTCCCCCCCCCCCCTCCCCCCCCCGGCCGGGGAGGGAGTCCATT